AATGGGTGGATGGATGGATGGATGGATGGATGGATTTGGGTGAATGGATGGATGGATGATGGTTGGATGGATAGATGGATGGATGAATGGATAGATGGATGGATGGATGAATTATTTATTCATTCATTGCAGTATATTACACGGAGAGGAAATATAGAAGAACGTGAAGCAGTGACATGTGGTGACTGATTTTCAGGTGAACAACACGAACCTCATGCAGCGCAGCATTCTGGGGAACATCCTGCCTGATGCGATGGTATGCTACCTGGAGAACTACACGGCTGAGAAGTTTGCCGAGATCTTTCTGGGAGAGTTCGACACTCCCGAAGCCATCTGGAGCATGGAGATGAGGTAAGTCTGCTTCCAAGCGTCTGCTTATGTATGCTTATTTAAGTTATTATATCGTTTGCTGCCATTCAATTTACTTGTAATTTAATTTAATTATTTTAATTTTAATTTCAATTTAATTTATCCATTTAATTTAATTTCAATTTAATTTATCCATTTAATTTAATTTCAATTTAATTTATCTGTTTAATTTAATTTCAATTTATGTTAATTCAGTTTTTAATTCCATTGATAAACCGTTTAATGGCAAACTGCTGCAATTCAGGTATAAGCCTTAGGTAATACCTATTATTATTAGCTCTTGTATTATTAGCTCGTGTATTATTAGCTTTTGATAGTATCAGGGGTTAATAATGTCAAATGTCAATGACAATTTGTCATTATTACCCCCTGATAGTATGTTAACGGTGTCTGTGTGTCTGCAGGCGTATGATGATTGAGAAGATCGCGGCGCACCTCGTTGACTTCACGCCGCGCCTGCAGAGCAACAACCGCGCGCTCTACCAGTACTGCCCGATCCCGGCCATCCACTACCCGCAGCTGGAGAGCGAACTCTTCTGCAACGTCTTCTACCTGCGACACCTGTGCGACACACAGCTCTTTCCCGACTGGCCGATCAAGGAGCCGGTGAGTTTTCCTTCTTTGTAAATTACCGTGAAGGTGTGCTCTAACCCGAACCTTAAACCTAACTCGCTTCCCCCCTTTGTTCTTTCTTATAACAGTTTTATCTCTTCTTTCTATCTCTATTTCTCTCTCTTCTCCTTTTCGCTTATAATCTCTCTCTCTCTCTCTCTCCGTCACTCATAATCACATCCCTTCTCCTAACTCGCTTTCCCCCTCTCTCTCTTATCGCTTATAATCTCTCTCTTTAAAAGTTGACATCTAGGAGTGGTGGGGGGGGGGTGTAGCATAATGGTAGTTTAAGTGGGATTTTTGTAAGTGTTGTGGGATTTACGCGTAACTTGCAAAAAAAATTGTCATCCTCAGGTGAAACTACTCAAGGACATTCTGGATGCTTGGAAGCTGGAGGTGGAAAAGAAGCCACCCACAATGTCTATCGACGATGCGTACAAGGTGCTAGGACTGAAAACCGGTGTGGGAGGGTAGGTCTGCTTTCGTTTACGCCATCGCATATGCGGATACCACAAATTCGATGCGCTAGTCATTTTTGTCACAGAATAGTCTCGTAAACGTATTGTATTAAAGGTATTCGTTATCACGTGATACAGTCATGGATAGTCTCATAAGCGTATTGTAAGGTATTCGTTATCACGTGATACAGTCATGGATAGTCTCATACGCGTATTGTAAGGTATTCGTTATCATGTGATACGCTCACGTGATTATTATTGACCAATAGTATTAAAGCACT